TCCCCTTCTGGACAAGAGGCCCTCACGCTCCTGCGTGTTCCCAGGTCCCTATGAGAACCGCACTGTGTTTGAGTCGCTGGACCTGGGCTGGAAACTGCTGCGCATCTTCCCCAAAGAGATGCTGAAGCGCATCCCGCAGAGCATGAAGGACGAGTTCTACTCCCGCCAGGGGGCGCAGCAAGACCCCGCGTCCGACACGGCGCTCTAGGGCAGCCCCCAGAGCCCGCCCTCTCCCTTAAAATTTAAGCCCCTGTCTTTTGCCTTATGTTGACAGGAGTGTGTTTTGCTGTGGGTGGGTGGGCTGTTATTAGGAGCACGCTAAGAATGGAAGCGGGGAGGGGGCACTCTGCTGTTGGACTCCACACCAGTCCTATATTTTCATTTTAGAAGCCACGCCTACAAAAACGTAACTGAAATAGAAAATAAAAACAGTAGCTGAGATGAACTTGTCACCAGTGAAAACAAGATTGGGAGCTTTTTGCTAATTTTTGAAGGTGCAGACGATGCCGTGCAGTTTGTAAAAGTATTTAAAAAGAAAAGTCTAGTTGAGCAAAGAGGAGCACACTTTTAATCCCAGTACTTGGGAGGCAAAGGCAGGCAGATCCCTGTGAGTTAAATGTCAGCCAGGGCTACATAGTGAGGCCCTGGAGAGAGAGAGAGAGAGAGAGAGAGAGAGAGAGAGAGAGAGAGAGAGAAATTTAGTGGCTGACAACCGAGTTCCTCTTAGGGAAGTCTTTCCAGTTAAAAGGAGAGCTGAGCTGACGTGGCTGAGTGGTAGAGTTTGCGCAGAATTCAGAAAGCCTTGGGCCCCAGCCGCTCACCCTTGTGATGCATGTACCTGTAATCCGGATACTTGGGAGGTGGAGCCAGGAGGACCAGAAATTCAGGGTTATCCTCCACTACATAGTGCATTGAGGCCAGCCAGAGCTACACTATTTAAAAAATAAAGTGAGGTAAAACATGAAAGGGCTGGGGTAAAGAGGGCTGAGCGGTAGAGTGCTTGCCTACTACGCACAAGGTCTAGGGGTGTGTTCCTACCGCTGCAAAATAGAAATAAGAGGGCTAAGCTGTCGAAAGCACTTGCCACCAAACCCCATTACCCTGACGACCCGAGTGTGGTACCCACAACCCACGTGATGGGAGGAGGGCAGCGGTTCCCCAAAGTTATCTTCGGAGACTCACACGCGCAAGCACGCGCAAGCACGCGCGCGCGCACACACACATATATGTTGTGCAGCAGGGAGTTAGCTGCGGTGGTGTGCTGCACGCTCCTAATCCCCACACCAGGAAGCAGAGGCAGGTGGATGGCTCTCTCTGAGTTCCTGACCAGCCAGAGCTGCACTGTGAGACCCTGTCTCAAAGACAGAGAGGGGGGAGAGGAGGGGAGCGGAGAGGAGGGGAGCGGAGAGGAGGGGAGGGGAGACGAGGGGAGAGCTGGGGGGGGGAGAGGGGGGGAGGGGGGAGGGGGGGGGGGGAGGCGGGGGGAGAAGGGGGGGGGGGGGGGGGGGGGGGGGGGGAGGGGGGGGGGGAGGGAGGG